ATCATGAGAAGAGTTAAGACATGTCTTACCATATTAAAAACTTGACAAAATAGGATTGGTACTAGCAAGTTTAAATAAGTTATTAAGTTTAAAAAGTTAATTTAGAATGTGAAAATTCAGAGAATAACAAACCATTGCTCAAGCAAATTATCTTCAATTCTGTTTCATCAAGTAAGTCCCAAAGTAGGTTAGTTTTGGAAGAGTGAATGTAGCTCTTCCATCCGTTGTCTGATTTCCTTCCCCTTTTTTCTATGCTATTACTCTTTGCAATCATGAACGTGAAGATACCGCAGCTTTTCAAAGGGAAACAAATTCTTCATTCTTGAACATCTGATAATTACACAAAATTCTTTAATTAGAAAAAGATGTGAGGGAATGTTGGTACGTACAGGCCATGCGTGAGTAGTTTCTGTTCCTTTCACTTTCACATGATCACACATGAAGCACCATGATTGGTAATTATAAAGGAATTAGCATCCAATTAAGAGAGATAGATATCATATGGAATTTGTTAAAAGTAAAATCTAAAAACACACAAATCTTGAAAATTTGCCAGTGTAGAATAGGAAGGTAGAGGCAGCTGGTACAGAAGAAAGCACAATCTGAAAGCAGGAGGAAAGACGGTGAAGGGCTGCAGAAGTGTGCCTTGGCAGGGAACTTAAGATGCTCAAGTTAGCCACGGAAGTTTTTAACAAAATCAATAGATCAAATATGAGAGAAATTCATACCTTGGGTCTGTTATGGCCTACGTATAAGTTGAATGGCTGCAAGAGTTGAACAATAAGCCAACTATACCAACTCATATATATCCAATTCACAGAAACTCCATTACGTCAGATGCTGAGCACTAGGGCCCAACTTCAGAGAAGCAGTATATAAGAGCCGTGCAACATGGTTCAATAGATTGTGTGATACAGAGAAAACATAGAACTGACATTTGGACAGACAAATAAGAACCATAATATGAATTGAGAAGCACTTTGGTGAAACAGACAGTATCAAATCCTTTAAAACCACTTAATATTTGGATGAGAAAAATAGAATCAACTAATTACCAGTGTAGAGGCAGCTAGCAGGCAAGAAAGCGCATTAAATCAATCTAAATTTTGCTTACTATTTTGGACTTGAAAATAATTGTTGATCTCCAAGTACGGGTGTGTTGACTGCATAAAATCTAAAGGTAAGTCACAGAGACTGTCAAGTTAGCCACAAAAGAGTTTAACTAAATTGATAGATCAAAAAAAAATGAGAGAAATTCATACAATCGTATACATGCATACCTTGGGTCTGCTATGGCCTACATATATATATGTGGGTTCAATTTGCACAAGAGTTGAACAATAATGTGATTAAAGAAATTAAGATGTTGAGGTTGATATAGTTAATAGTCACAAAATATAAAACAAGAAATTTCTCAAATCTATTTTACTGCTTATTACAACACAAAAAAAAACTAATTAAACAAAGTTCATCCATAGCACAAAACAAAAATTACAACAGAGATTGCATTGGATTGAAGTGAGTGTGAGTCCCAATTTTTTTGTTTTCCTTAGCTGTATATGTTGCTGAGTTGAAGAAATAGGTTTGAGATGATAAGAGATGCAGCCTGCACCAACATGTATGGAGAAATTACTTAATTCTAAGGATGCAAATATTAGTCAGCCAAAAAAATTTTTTTTTTAAACAAAGGAAAAAAGAAAAATGTTCAAGAAAACATAAACGTATATACCTGGGCTGCGCATTAGAAAGTGGACACAAATTGACCAGATTGATATTCAATGGATGACTCAAGAAATCCATTCCGGTGCTTGCTTCCTATGAATGAATAATTTAAAATGGAATTAGCATCCAATTAAGAGAGATAAGACATCTCATCAGAAGCAAATCAACAGATATATATACCTGAGCTGAGCTGCGGATTAGAAACTAGTCAATTGATAATTGAAACTCGTAGAGGCAAAAGGAAATGCTAAACAGACTTATATTCAGTATCTACCCAAGGGTCCCCGCTGTGAATAATCAGAAAAGGAATTAGCGAGACAAACATCTTATTAGCAAATCAGTTAAGATTAGATAATTGAGCAAATCAACGGAGATTAACACTTGGATTCGATCAGAAACAAGAGATAGAAACATTTATTTATGAAATACCAATGAGAGAGAAGGAATGGAATGCAAGTGATAGAAAAAGGGAGAGTAATGAGACTTACTCTTTTTCAGGTTTGCGGAAAGGTTGGAGGACAATCTTATCGTCAGGATTCTCCCACTCTAACGATTCCCACCATCTTTTTGGATTGAAAATACAGATGGATTTGACAGCAGGAAGAGATGGTTGCGCGTTTTCCCTTCCAAGACAAAGGGGAATCCTCTTTACCTTCGAACAGAGATCTATTTTGATGCTATTGAGAGATTCACAAACCATCCTCTTTCGGGGCAGATTCTCTTCAATTCTGGAAGGGATTGCAACTCCAATATCCTTAATTTTGGAAAAGTGATCAATATTGTAGTAGTTGTTTGATTTCCTTCCTCTTCTTCTTCCCATCCTATTATTTCCTCCATCCCCTGACAATTAGTCACCTCAATCAGCTCCAAGTTTTGGAGGCCCTGACCCTGCAACAGCTCCCATGGAAAAAGTTTCTTCAATTTTAAACAATTGTATACCCTCAGCTGTTTAAGATTGGAAAAGATGTGAGGGAATATTGTTGGTGCAAGCGATGCTCTTGTTTTTTCTACTTTCACAACATCCCGCAAGCCAAGCAAACACTTAAGAGTTAGTACTTCAAGGTTATTCATAACTGTCGAGGAAGTAGATGAAGATGATGACAAAGAGACCACACATCCTATCCCTAGGCAGTCTTCCAAAGCACATGTTCGCAATTGAGTAAAATCTTTCTGAAAAACAGAAATATCACCGACTGCATTGCAGGATTCAATCCTCAAATCCTGAAGGTCACCTGGAAGGACCAACTCATCTTCTTCTCCCATCTGGCATCCGATTAAAATTACCTGTTTAGGAAGATCATTATTATTGAACTTCCAAAAATGCCCCCCGCTATACCTGTCTGTGTCTCCCACTGTGATAAAGTAATGACTGGGTCTTCCGAAGAGGTTCAACTTGCTAACAAAACTGCTGAAGTCTTTCGGCCAAACAAATCTACCTTCAAACCATTCCAGCATCTTCAATCTTGCTACTTCTTCTCCTCTTATGTCAGTTGAAAAAATCTGACGTTTACGTAGGTATTGGAGGCGGAAGAGCTTACTGATTTTTCCTTCTGGAAGCAGCCTCAGGTTTGGACAAGATAAATCAAGATATTGCAGATTTTCTAACATTTCAATGCCTTTAGGAGCCTCACAAAGGCCTGCTCCATCCAAATCCAACTTCTTCAGTGTTTTAAGCTTTGACAAGGAAGGCATGCGTTTTAAACTCTCACATCCACAGAGGATCAGTGTAGTGAGATATTCCAAGTTACATATGGAATTAGGTAGAACCTCAATGCCAGTATTAGAAAGATCAAGAAACTTCAGCAGGGGCATGTTAGCAAAAAAACACTCTGGAATTTGTCTCAATCTGCTATTACCCTCCAAAATCAAGGTTGAGAGCATCAAGCATTTAGGGGACATATTTTGAGGGATATATGATATTACATTTTTCATGAGGGAGACCTTATCTAGATCTTCATTCCATTCATCTTCATCCGGTATCTCTGTCAATCTCATTCCAGCTTTTACCATAAACCTACCAGGACTCGTCCTCTTGATGCGCAATGCCATGTCCCTCACAACATCATGCATCTTAACACACGCCTCTTTATTGGCTTCCTGTAACAAACAACAGTTTAAAAGCCTATTTAAAATAGCATTTCCTTTATCATGCATTTCTCTTCTGCTTCCTAATTTTTCAACAATTCCCTCACAAATCCAGGCTTCAATTAGGTCTTGTCTTCTAATCTCCCAATCTTCTGGATGCAATGAGCAATATAAGAAACACTTTTGGAAGCTTGAATTTGGTAGACGGTCATAACTGAACTTCAAACGTTTAAATATCTGGTCCTCTAAATCTTTCTCTGTGTCCACCACACATTGATGCAATTCACGTAATGCATTTCTCCACTCACAAATATCTTCTACTCCTCTCATGCTCCCTGCAATGACAACAATGGCCAATGGCAAACCAGTGCATTCAGCCACCATAAACTTCAAAATCTCTTCCAATTTGGGAATTAGTAGAACATCTTGCCCAACCTTATCTAAAAACAAGTTCAAAGACTCTTGCTCTGGTAGAGGTGGTACTTTAACTACCTGACATCTCAAGTAGTTGCATACATCAATGGATCTGCTAGTAATAACAATTTTACACCCATTTTCCATTGTTGGTTTTGGGATTCCAATTTTATGAAGAGCCAATTTATCCCAGACATCATCTAAGATCAGTGCATATTTAACTTTTTTCATAGCCTCCATCAGTCTTGATGCCCGACTCAATTCATCCGAACCATCCGAAACACTTTTCTTCGTTGCCTTGCTCATTGCCCCAGCAATGTCATCTTGCAATCTGAAAACATTGAGAGGATGTGATACTGTTACCCAGACAACCTTCTCAAACCTGCTAGCCTCTTTCACTAATTCATTATGGATGTGTTTCATAACAGTGGTTTTGCCAACTCCACCAATTCCACAAACTCCAATAATTCCAACCTCGTGACCCATTAAGTATTCCCAAATTTTTTCCTTCACATCAACCTCGCCCACCATATTCTCTGTTGGCAAAGTGATTCCAATAGCTGGAGACCTTTCAATTACAAGACCTTCAGGGAAACTACCTCGATCGTAAATTTCCCTCACATCTTGAATCTTTCGACGAACTCGTCTTCCAAGGTTACCATGTGAGAAGTATGAAACATTCTGCACCTGTCCTTCAATATCTGGCATTTCAATCTCAATGACCTTCCTCGCATATTCAAGCCATCCCTGCACTTCTTCTTTAACTTGTTTTTCCCAGACATCCACACTTCGTAGTTCTCCTACTTTATCATTTCTTCTGCGTTTTAGACCTGCCACTCTTTCTCTGAGATCACCCACATCATTTTGGAAGTTTATGTGGCAATCTAAATATTCGACTACTGGTCCAAAGGCTGGCCCTATAAAGGCTATAATGGACTCCATGAATGAAATTTCTAAAATTAAAAAAAAAAAAGAAAGAAAGAAAAAAAAAGAAAAGAAAAGAAAGGCGTATCATTAAAATGTTCGTTTGGTAGTGTATACTTGCGATCACCAAAGAAAAGATTGTGCATTCTTACAAGCAAGGAAAAAAAAAAAAACAGAAAGAAGAAGAAGAGACAAACTCTCTATTTATATTTTGTATATTAATTTTTTATAATTAATATCTTCAAAATTTTTTACTTTCAACATTTTTTATAATTTTTTTTTGTATAAAAAAATATTTTTTATAATTTAAAATTCATAAAAAATTTTAAAATTAACAATAAAATCTCGTATTTACTCCTTGACTTTATTAATAATTTAAGATTTTTTTTGTAGGTTTTAATTATAGAATATATTGACTGGAAGGTGTTAATTATAAAAAAATAATGTGCAAAGTATGGAAAGGAGATTTGACAAAACAAAAGGGAAAAAAATAAATAAATACATTTTTTATTTTATTCTCTAAAATTTTACAATGTTAAACAATCTAGTGTTGTAATTGGTTTCTTTTTCTTAAAAAATACTAATAATTAATTCACAAGAAGTTTCTGAGGA